ATAATATAAAAATTGATTTTCCGAAGATCTTTTTTTTTGTCATTTTCGGCCCTTTCTCCAGCACCTAGCCCATATATTGAATTAACTCTGCTTTAACCGATCCTTAAATTAGGACAGTAAGCAAAGCGACGGGTTACAACTAGTAAGTAACCTTAAAATTTGTCAAGACTATAGCATTAGCATTGTCTTATATATATATTGTAACTGGGAACAGGATTTGGAATTTCTTAATAAAATTATAATTTTTGGATAGAATTCGGTTTATATAACCCTACACCCTAATCTAAAACTCCAATCACGACATATATAAAGTACTGTATCGAACTGGGTCATGACTGGCCAAGCATCTGATCAGATTCGAAGAGTAAGCACTTTGTTGTGGACAATAACTAATTGTACTCACTACGTAGAATATTATGTTTATGATGTTGCCGAAATCGCGGTATTTGCCATGAAGAAATGGGAGGAACACGAATTTGAATATCTACGCTTGGCTATGATGGCTAGGAATTATCATGTAATTAGTGCAACTAGCGTTCCAGTTGAACGGGTATTTGCTGAAGGAGCTGACTTAATCAATGTTAAAAGAAGTAGCCTTGGAACCGATGCTATTCGTTAATTCGTGGTGGGAATAGTGTGTCATTTAAGGCCACAATCGGTTATCATAAAGCATTAGTAATGCATTAGTAATAATATAAATTATAAAATGCTAAAGAATGTTATAAATTAATTGACTAAAAACTATTGAAGTATTTTTTCTTATTAGCGTTAGTGTTAGATATGATGATTTTATTAACTATATAGTAAAAACCCGGGTTTTGCTCTGGCTAACCTAGTGTTGGGAAATTGGACAAAAAATTGCGCCACACTTGGTTTTGGACATATGTCCAATTAACTTTGAAAACAATTGGACAAAGTAATCTTCCCTAACCCGATCAACTACCCGGTCGACCGTTTCGGAGCAATCCAATTATTATTAATTTTACTTTTGGCAAACACCATGCGCATGCTAATTGCATGCAGGCGCCCATCTCTAACCCGGACCAATTTATTTTTATGACGTAATAACATTTTGGTCTGGGTTCACAGGATTGTCGGATAAAGCAATTAATTATCCGACGTCTCTGAATGATTTTCGTGTAACTTGCTCGGGTTCCTCCTAATACAAATTACAAATTCACTTACATCTTAAAAGGAGTGTATTTGTATTATGTAGAAGGAGGCCGAACAAGTTAATGAAGTTATTAAATAAATGAAAAATATGTTGTAATTTTGCATTTGTAAACTTCAAGTTTATTATTACGTATTAGAACATATAGTTAACATTATTATATACTTGTTGGGAACTAGTGATGGGACTTACTGGGGTTGGCTGCTTAATTGTCGCACATCATGGTATAAAAAGGAAATCTATAATTTTTGTTTAACATAATGCAACTTGCGACAATTAAGCAGCCTGAATTTCTAACCCCGGTAAGTCTCATCACTAGTTAGAACAATACGTATAAAATAATGAGTAATTCTATTTCAACCTATATATTATATTATGCGTAGAGTAGTTCTAATTTAACTTTATTATATAGTTTTATATGTAATAGATATTACACGGGCTGTTGTGAATATCATGGATTAGCACGGCGAAGCCGTGGTAACACATGATGTTCACGGCGCACGTGTAATATCTGATATATTCAACGGTCATTATGCCCGTAACGTTTCTGATTAAAATTTTTACTGATGATGTCATACTGTGTAATATTTTTTGATATCTCCACGGTATTACATCATCATAAAAATATCAACAGAAATGTTCACGGGCGAACATTAAGGACCGTGGAATATAGTTGGTATATACTGTATAAAATATACAGAATTACCGATAGGTAAAATTGTATGATACATTTTCATTTTTATATATAAAAAATATCCAATTATTCAATTATTTGATTAAATTTGTATCTTTAAAAATGATTAAGATATTGATCTAAAAAAAATATAGTTCAATTAGTGATGGGACTTACCGGGTTAGAAATTCAGGCTGCTTAATTGTCGCACACATCATAATATAAAAAGTAAATCTATAATTTTTGTTTTAACATGCGACAATTAAGCAGCCTGAATTTCTAACCCCATCACCAAGTTCCTAGTCATATTTGTATATTCACAAATCATATGGAAGGTCAAGTCAAATATATTTTAAAAAAATTTAATTAGTCCAGAGTGAAGCGGAGAACCCATATTTTTATACAATAATAAAAACCACCCCAAAAGCATAATTTTTCAGTATACGTATTTGCATATATATTATGGTTCGTAATATAGTGCGAGCGGTCCAGTCGCATCAATTATTTTATATTAACGTTAAATTTGCTTATAGATCTAGAAATTTTAGTGCAAAAAAAATATACGTATACGTATATATTTAAGCAGTTTTTAGATCTGTAAAAATTATACACTTAGATTGAAATTTTTTTAAACTTTTACTAGTAAAAATCCAACATTCAAAAAAGTAACTTTAATTAAAATTTTCATTTTACTAATAAATTTAAAAAGGTTTAATATTGCTAAAATTTATTAATAATTTGACCAAAAAAAAATTTTTTATTTTAACTATATACTTACTTTTATAAAGAATTTTTAAAAATTATTAGTTTCTACTTGCTGGTTTAAGATGTCCCGCACTGAATAAAGAATTAAAAAAAATACAGTCAGGCCTTACTAAGTGCATTCCCTTGGGATCATAATTTAACAACATGCATTTAAAAAATAAAAAAAAAGTGCATTTGTAAAGATCAAGTATATCCGTATTTGAGCCAGAATTTGAGAGTGCATTTAGAGGTGTGCACTTGTAGAGGTCTGACTGTATATTTAGTTTTATAAATAATGATTGAAATTATTATTATTGATAAAACTTTTTTTTTCATACCTTTTTTAATTTATAAAAATATCTTAAATACAATCTAATGTTAATGCTACCTTAAAATTAGAACTTACACTTCAAATTATATATATTTTTGATTCTTTATAAATTTTTAGTAGTAATATCCAAAAGACATTTAAACGATGTAAATCTATTATCATTACAGTATCGGTATTAGAAAGCAAATAAGTATACAGCACATTAATGAACCTCATGGCTATTTAAAACATTGTACAGATTATGATCTTTCCTAAAGATTGTACCCCAGGTACTGTACTGTACGTAATCATTTTTATTATATCGATATGGCTATAATAAATTACCCAAATAATCGGGTAATAATACGTAATACCCGAGTTAGAAATTTTCTTGACGGGTACATTCTTTAATATTTTCAAGTACACAAATTTGTAATCCATCTTTGGTATTTTACAGTACGTATATATTGTACGTCTGTATAATTAATACAATGCGTATTGTAAAATTATTTTAATAAGTTGAGAACCTTCAACAATTTTATATATTAAATTAGAATTGCTTTAAATTCTACTTTAGGTTGCTCCAGATCTGCTTCGGGTTGTGATTACTTCATATTTTTCTTAAACCTACTTCAACTTAGGTTTGACCAAAGTATACGTACGTACTCCCTATTAGTGACTAAAAATGGTATAAATTATTATTTACTATACAGATACATAGACTGATTAATGTCCGAAGCAAAAATATGTTGTGTTATCTAATCAAATTTTGATTGGGTATTTTTAACGGACATTGCATAAAAATGTTCTCGCTATGCTTCTGACAAAAAATATAATATGGTATATAACGATAATTATTAAAAAAAACAAAGCTTCGTTAACAATAAAATAAATGTTTATTTGTTACACATAATGATCGTCAATTTCTTTGATTTGATTGGTTAATTATCACGTTTTGATCAACGCAAATTAACCAATCACATTAATGTCTTACCACGAATGTTGATGTTACATAAATCTGACCAACATTAAATATAGAACGATATAATAAACAATTTTTCCCTGAAACAAAAAAACCTTAGCCATGTCAGAAGGTGCACATCCATCCGGTGACGAAGATGTCGAAGATTTCAAAGAACAAGATCGATTCCTTCCAATTGCAAATGTCGCACGAATAATGAAACGCGCGCTACCAGATAATGCTAAAATCGCAAAAGAAGCAAAAGAATGTGTGCAGGAGTGTGTTTCTGAATTTATTTCTTTCATAACGAGCGAATATCCTTTTTTACAGTTTATAATATTAGATGCAGTTAAGCTATAACATAGACCTTCAAACAGTTTCTTTTATATTTTCTTAACTATTATTGATGTGTACGGCAAGCGATCGCTGCCAACAGGAAAAAAGAAAAACGATCAATGGTGAAGACATTTTATGGGCTATGCAATCATTAGGATTTGAAAATTATGCAGATGCTTTGAAAATTTATTTGGCAAAATATCGTGAAGTAAATACTTTCACTTACGGTTTATTATTGTTTTTTTTCCTCTTGATCAAATTTGCTGATAAATAAAATGTTGATTTATTATTGTTAGACCACTAAAATTGAACGTTCTTCTGCAAATGCGAAAGAAAAGGAAGAAGACGTTACTAATAGTGATATATTTTCTCAACAACAACAACATCCTGCGACAGGGTTTTATTCAGGTTTTTATCGATATTTTACTTTATTCTTAAATCTTCAGTGTATTAACTTAAATTACTTAAATTTATATTCTATTACAATATTAAAGTGCAACATCAGCCTTTTCTCGGTGACAACACTCCAAGTTAGAGGTGGTAAAGTTAATTTAGGTTTGGTTTAGATTCTAAAACCTTTGGGTTCCAAATTAAAAACCTAAGAACCGGACTTTTAGATAATAAGTTCCAAACCTAAGTTAAACCTAGAATCAAATTTTAGAACCTGGTTCTCAATATTTTGCAAGATATAAAAAATAATAAAAGTTACTTAATTCATATTAAACTTTAGAATATATATATATATTTTTTTATCTTCTAAATAACTTTACTTATTCTAATATTTGATTTATTTAATAAAATTTGAGTTTTATAAGATAGAAGGTGGTAATATGGCAGGATGGGTAAAGCGGCAGAGAGTTTAATGATCCTTATACCATTCAATTTGTCTCACTAAGATAAATCGAAGGATATAAAAAGCATATATTTCTAATAATTGGATTACCAAATAATTATATAAGTAACTTTTTAT